AATTATATAAATTTAACTTTTTGAATTTTTTTTTTTTAATCTCACCATTGTAATGATTGGACAGTAGTAATCGCAAATTGCGTCTTGCTTATATGAGTTTAAACTACAAACTCTGTTTATTGTAGTTGTCAAATAAATTTTTTAAATTTTTTTAACATATATACAGTAAGGATGTGACTTTTTGGTAACTCCAGTTTCCAATATAAAAAACAGATGAACTTTGGTTTGAAAGTAACTGAAAAATCATTGATTTGAAAGTAACTGAAAAGTCATTTAATTTTTGAAAAAGGTCATCCACCATGACCCTTGATTACACACTGGCTCCCATATATCAGTGATTTTTTTTCAAACGTATATCAATCTGGGTTTCAAAAGAACCAGAATTTCATAGAGATTTCAAAAATTATAATGGTTTCAAATAAAAATGAATTGCTTAATTTTTTTAACAAAAAACAATTTTTAACTACAAATTGAATTTTGTTAAAAACGTTTTGTTTGCAATAAGATTATGATATTTTGTTTGCAATAAGATTAACATTTGATATTAACATTATGTTTGCAATAAGATTATGAATTTTGAAATCACTATAAAATTCTGGTTCTTTTGAGACCCAGGTTGTTATACTTTAAAAGAAAAAAAAATTCTCTGATATATGGGAGCCAGTGTGTAATCAAGGGTTATGGCGGATGACCTTTTTAAAAAATTAAATAAAACCAATGACTTTTCAGTTAATTTCAAACCAAAGTTCATCTGTTTTTTATATTGGAAGATACCAAAAATTTACCAAAAAGTCACATCCCTAATATACAGGTTTATAAAATTAAGTTTACATGACCAGATATTAACTCTCTAATAATTAATCAAAATAAAATTAAAAGACAAATAATCAAATAGAAATTGAATGTAAACAAAAATAAAATTTATGTTTTTCTGTTTTACTGACATTAGTCTTAAACAATTAATCAAATTTTAAAGGTTTACACAATTTTAGCTATAATAATTTTAAAAAATTTAACTTATTAGTTTTGCTTATCTTAATAGCATAAAACCTTTTCAAAAAAATGAAGAATAATGAAAGAAAAGATTACTGCCCCATCCAAACCCCCAGTCAATGTAGTGACTCCTTTGCGACAGCAGATTATTTCAGTGTGACCTCACAGTGCTTATCAAAACACGCATTTATTGTTGTATGTGTGTGTGTGTATATATATATATATATATGTGTGTGTGTGCGTGTGTGTGTGTGTGTGTTTGTTTGTTTGTTTGTTTTGGTTTCAACTTTTTTTTAATTAATTTTGCTTTTTAATTTTTTAGATTTTAGATTTTAATATTTTAGATTTGAATACATTTGTATAAATTTTCATAACTGAAAAATTATATTTCATGGATTATCCTCAACAAAGAAAAGCAAGAATTATTTAGTTATAATCCTCAATTATGGAAAGCAAGAGTTACTTGACATTTAAAACAAGAGTTACTGACACTTACTGACTTTTCTTCCTCTACTAATAACTTTGATCCAAGTAAAATGTGAATGCAACTATACAAATTTCTTTTGAATGCTTGAGTTGAATTTAAATTTGTCTAGGCATTCAAAATTTCTTACTAAATAGAGTTTGTTTCAATTGTAGACTTTACTTTGCCACTATTAAATCAATAAAACAGCATAAAATAGCTCATAGATTAGAGTATCAAATTAGATTTCATTGTCTAGTTTCTCAATTTTAATCCATAATCATGTGTGGTTTTTTAAATTCTGAAAAAGAGGCGTTAGGCCCTATGGCAATCCTCTTTTTCAGGTCTGAATAGCACACTATAAAAATATCTGGTCTCTAAAACATTGTTTTGGTGAAGGTATTTAAAAAAAAAATCATGTAAATTGCAATAACATTCATACTTGTGCATTAGAGATAATTAATATTATCAAATATAGGAGCATTATATTATTTATATAACTTAAACAAACTCAAATTCTTTTTTTCAAAGGCAAATTTCAAAAGCAAGGCAAAATAAAGTTGTTGTTTTTTTTGACTCGAATAGTTTTTAGTGTTTTTCTTTGATTGTTCGTAAGTCCTCTTGTGGTAAAAAGTTATATACAGTACTGTAAATATATTTTAGACCATATACATTTTTTCAAAAAATCCTGGAGAATTCTTCTCTTATATTTAAGTTTGTGGATCTTTATTATAAAGTTATTAAAACAACATGTATTTCACACAAAATATGAAACAATAACAAACTTTTTAATGTTAAACTTTATAAGAAATCTTAATATCTACTATGTCCTCCTTTTGCCTTAATCACAGCTATTAAAAGCTAATAATCTCTCATTCACAGCTAAAAAGCTTTAGTTGCATTTCGTATTGTGCAGCATGTTTTTTTTCCTATTTCTTAAAGAAAGGATTTTTAGATATTTATCGTCATCATTTGTTAGCTTAAGGGAGCCAGTTTCTCTAAACTTATTAATGATTTCTGCAACAGCAGTTTTTGAATATCCTGTTTTGGATGAGATATGGTGCTGTGCATAACCTTTGTGAAGCACAATAACTTTTTGTCTCTTTATAAAGATATTTTACCCATAACGACATTTAATTAATCTAAAAATGAAAACAAATAGCTTTGTTTAATTAATTTTTCAACTGTGTTCATAAAAGATAACATTTATTTTTCTAAATGTACAAAAGTTGATAATTATTGTACTAAACGTTTTGTACTGTCAAAAATGAAGGAGTATGAACCCAAATCAAATTAAACCAGTTTATTTTTTTATTTTATTTATATAAACGCTTTGGTCTGTAGTTACTATGACACTTATCGTTTTAATAAATAAATCATGTTCCCTCATCAGATATTGTTTATTTGATATTCAAAATAATATATTCTTTCAACCTTTCTTATTTTATTATTCAACTTAAGTACGCTTTAAAAAAATTACAAGAGTTACTGACACTTACTGATTAATTAAGTTGAATAATATATTCTTTCAACCTTTCTTATTATATTATTCAACTTAAGTACGCTTTAAAAAAATTACAAGAGTTACTGACACTTGTAAATACAAAAAATTGTAAATACCTCTAATTATACAAGTGGTCTGAAATATATTTACAGTACTGTAAGTCAGATATGCAATATTTTTTTGTAAAATAAAAATTATTTTCTTTAACTGATCTTGCTTTTGGGGTTGTTTTGTTAAAACTTTTGATAAACTAGTGTTTTTAATTTTCTTTTTCACTCTTTTAAATTTTTATAACTATTGGAGTCACATCATTAAAAGTAGTTTTAGATATAGCCACAAGCTTTTTTGGTGTAAAAATGTTCGGCAGGTTTATCCAGTAGGATAAAACTGCCGATAAAATAATAACCTTATTGAGATTTTATTTTTGTTTAAGCTCTTTCAATTTTTTTTTTGTTTTAACTTTTACGTTTAACTCATTGTTTTACACTTTACTTTAATTTCAGACCGGATTTTATTTGGATTTTCTTGAGACTTTCGTTTTGGTTTGTTTCTAAATGCTTTTAAATAACCTTTTTAAATAGATTTGTAAAAATTTTCTATTTTACTAAACATTTTTCCATTACAACAATAACAAGATATTTATTTTTCCTTCACTACATTAAAAATAATACTAATAACAATTATACTTGAATTTATAGGTAAAGTTAATAAATTAATTTGATATGAATTTAAGCTAAAACTTTTTAAATCACCTCGTTTGATGAGACTTACCAATAACCCTCCCTGAGACACGTATTATTTGAATGGCCTCTTTGTACGAATAGTAATGGCCGAATTGTTTTCATTTTCAATTTTTAGACATGATAAAGATGATATATTAATTTTTAGAAATAATCTATTCAAAATTTAAAGCTTTTGACACATTTTAAAAAATGTCTCCATTTTAATGATTTTCATTTTAAATGTATTTTCAAGTTTTTTGAAACGCTCTATTTAAACTGTCAAATTATTTTAGTTTGCTACTTTCTTAATTCGAAATTTTTATTTTTTTACTTTTAGATAATTGGTTCGATCATCAAAATTTTTACGCGGATTTAGTTTTATGTAAAATTCCCCTAAAGTTCGTGAGTTCTTTAAAAAATAATTATAAAAAAAGGCACATAGCAGAAAAAAAACATTTTAATGTTCTATCAAGAGAAAACACGAATGAACAAGAATATTATGCGCAACGCATAACAACGAATGCAAGATTTTTCTCAAGATTTTCTAACTGTCTAATAAAACAAGAGTTAGTGCAGTTTTTGTGTTATCAAGCGTTTTTAGACACTTTACGACCAAAACAAACCATGTTCAAAAATCTAATCAAATCTCTTGTAACTCAGATAAAACGTTTAAAATGCGTTTCGCAAACGGTTGACTTGAAAAAGCTCCGCGAACGATCCAAATTTTTTGCGCTTTTTAAAACCTCTTATGAAAAACATCAAAAACGGCATTGACTAATGACTTATAAATAAATATTAATGCTATTGTATCTCTAAAATCGTTTGTTCATCAATTCTTAATCATTTTTATTTACTATGTGTTTTTGAATACTTGACTCATAATCTAAAGACTTACATTGGTTGATTGCGAACCAATCCAAAGATACAGTGATCGCTTTACGATGCTATCTTCTTTTGATGTCTTTAATACAAAAAGGATGTGATAATATAAAAGCAATTTAAATTTCTAATCATTTTTTACCTTTTAATTTATAATTATATGTATTTACCTGTAATAATATGTAAATTTCGGCATCGTGAAATGTCCCGAAATTTCTTTTTAATTGAATTATGAGTCTTTCATTCTGAAAAAAAAAAAGGATTTTAGATTTTTATTTTGAAATAATACAATAAAGTCTTATTTTTTTGTTTTGAAATTACTTTTTATTTATTTTACTAGTATTGTCTCATTTAAAATTGATGTGTACTTAAAACTTTTAACATTTGTTTTAAGTCATATTTCTTACGATTTTTAAATGTGTTAGATTTTTAGATTACTTTATCCTTTTTTATTATATATATATATATATATATATATATATATATATATATATATATATATATATATATATATATATATATATATATATATATATAATAAACTTTTTGTTCCTTCCAATTTTAGAAATAAATAGTAATTTTTCAATAATTTTTCTTTAATTTTTCTGAAAATATTTTTATTTTTTTAATTTGTTTTTTGTGTTTTTATCAACACGGTAACGCAAAATCAGAATAAAGTCTTTTTTAAAGAGGAGTATTTTTAAAATCTTAAACGAAATTTTTAAAACATGTTCACCTGTATTCTCCATGTTTTCACTCCAGTCTTGTTTCCGATATTATTAAAGCATTCTTCAGCATATTTTCCTGAAATTAACATTCTATTATCCTTTTATTGTTACTGTTTTCACGGTGCCACTGGGTTCTTTATTACAAGATAGAATTTTTTTTAGATTCATGAGAATATTATATATTATTTAATGTTTCATTCAAAAGTCCATCTATTTTTACATAATTTAGCGTCGATTCTGATAGTTGAATAGAAAATATATTTTTGCATATGAATGGCAGAGAAGGATTTTAAATTTTAAAACTTTTCCTATTTCCTCGTTTCTTTTTAAAAAAAAATGCTTTTTAGCTGCTGGCTGAAATTCGTGTAAATCAAACAGTTTACCTTCGTTGCGTTATTAAAAGATGAACTTTTATATAAACCTAACCACTAACAATTTGACTTTTAAATTATGCCCTAATTTTGTATAGTAAATCATTATTATTTTTGTATTGTAAAGTTTAAAAAATAATTTGAGATTTACACACAAAAAAATGGAATTAAAAATATAAGGGGCTTTTTTCAACATGCTCTATAAAGCATATGAGTATAAAAGCGTAAAAATTACATATAATGTATATATATATACATACATATAATGTATATATATATACATACATATAATGTATATATATACATGCATTTATGCGTATATATACATATATAATATGTATATATATATTGTACATATATATATATATATATATATATATATATATATATATATATATATATATATATATATATATATATATATATATATATATATTGTACATACATATAATATATAGTATATATATACATAAATGTGTGCTTGTTTGTGTGTTTATATATATATATATATATATATATATATATATATATATATATATATATATAAAGTCATGTCTTCTTCTTGCTCCGGCCAATTTTTATAAATGTAATATGTCTACATTATAAATATAAAACGGCAAAAAAAAAAAAAAAAAAAAAAAACCTGCAACAGTTTTCGCTTCAGTCAAAATATTATTCCATGATGATATATAGCCAAGATTGCTTATTAGCTGTTGAATTAGAATAACTTCTTTATCTATTGTTAGTGAAGTTGACTGGAACAAACGGCTTACTTCATCTGCTACTTGAAGAACTTTATACCAAAAGGTCAGAAGTACAACAGTTTTAAAGGATTTAAAAAACTTTATCAAAGACTTAGCTTGATTTAGCATGTCAGAAGAAAGGTCAAGATACTCTATACTACGATTAAAGGCAGTAGTTATTTCCCATGGTCGTTTTGCTATTGGATTAACAGCGGCAATCGGAGCTGACCACCTGGTATCGGAAAGCTTGTGAAGAGAGATTCCAGTCAATTCTAGAAAAATCTTTCACCTTGCCGGACTGCAGCTGAAAAACAGTAAAGAGCTTAGATATTATCGAAGAAAACTTTCATCTCAGCCTAAGATTCAATTGCATATAATCCAGCTAAATTAAGACTATGGTCACCAAAATGAATGAAGAAAGCTAATGGATTTTTCTGTAAAATTAAAGCTTGTGCTCCAAAGTAAATTCCAGCCGTTGTCGTAACCTTGGCGACGACATTTTTGCAAGTCAAGACTTACTTTTATTTTTTTTTTATTTTTTATTTATTTATTTATTTTTTGCCATATAAATATATATATATAAATACAATCAATATTTCAGATAAATATAGATGGCCGGGACAAGAAGAAGACACAATTTGTCCTATCACCAAGCCCCGAGAATTGACTCTGTAAAATAAAAACTATTACTTACAGCATATGTAATTGTAACCAGTATATAAGAAATAAGGCTTTCTAATAGATATTGAAAATATATGTTAGAGGCTTTTGGCCCTCTAATAGATATTGAAAACTCCGTTGCTGCAAAAAAACTTTTAGGCTGAATATAAGTGTTGCTTGAGTATCTGGTTAAGTATCTTTTTTTATTTATTATGAATAACGAATTAAAAATTTTAAATGTTATTTTTGAATTAACTTTGAACATAAAAATTAAAAGATGATAAATGTTTATTTGGTAGACGATGAGTATATTTAGCTTTATAAATAGTTCTTTGGAGTGTGTAAAACGGTCTACATTAGATAATATTCTGATAGCATGTTTTTGCTTATTAAAGAGTTTTTTAATTTTGTTTTGATTTGTGCTACACCAAACTATGCTTGCGTAATTCAGATAACAATGAATAAAGGAGAAATATAACAGTTTTAGACAAATTTGATTTAATAAAGGCCTCGCCTTATAAAGTAATCCTATATTTCTCGAGATTTTACCTTTAAAATAATATATATGATCTTTCCAAGTTACGTTTTCATCAAGGAGTACGCCTAAAAATTTTAACGAGTGTTCTCTTTATATAGCTTGACTATCAATACAAAGTATTGGAAGTTTTAAAGGGATTTTATTGCGTTTATGAAAGCGATGGAAAAATGTATACTTTGTTTTAGTTAAATTAATTGATAGCTTATTTGCATTAAGCCATTCAGTAAGTTTTAAAAGTTCCATGTTAACTGAGTTAAACAACATTTTTATATCATGGTGAGCATAAAACAAATTTGTATCATCAGCAAATAAAATAGTAAAATAGTCTAATAAATTACAAGATTTGCTTAAGTCATTAATATAAATTAAAAATAAGAGTGGTCCTAAAATTGACCCTTGGAGAACCCCGCAGTTTATATTCATACTACCATTTCTCCGCAGCTAAAAGAAATATATTGTTTCCTATTTGACAAATAGCTTTGAAACCATTTAATATTCGAATTTTTAATCCCGTAATTTTCTAGTTTATTTAGGAGAATATAATGATCAACAGTATCAAATGCTTTGCTAAGATCAATAAAAACACCTAACGTATATTTATTTTCATCGAACGCCTGAAAAATATTTTGAACAAGGTGAATAATTGCTTGATCAGTGGAGTGATTCTTTTTAAATCCGAATTGTTTATTATAGAGAACATTGTTATTTTCTAAAAAGGTAAATAATCGCTTGAAATCATATCTAGAACCTAGAAATATCTTGCTCTCCAAGAGCAGATGTTTGACCTGTTAATTACACAAGAATCTGTAAAAAAGATTGTTTATACAATAAATATCAACAACTAAGTAAAAATAAAGTTTACCTCTAAATGCCACGTTTCGTGATGAGAGAAATAATGTTACATCCAAAATACAGCGCAATATTTCACGCCACCTCGCTACCTCAGACTCTAAAGTTTGTTTGATTGCCGTACCTTTTTTATTTACTATTTTCGAACATTTTTTTCTTTTAGTTTGTGTTATGCTTTTATTTGTTTTTGTTTTTTAATCTATACTTATTTAAATCTTTTAACCTTGTTTTACATTTACTTTTTTTAATTTTTATATCTATAAAATAATTTTTTAATTTATTCCTTTTTTTTTCTTCTCTTTTCTTATTTCACCTTTAAATAAGCAGATTTGCCCGTTAATACTTTCGTGAGATTTAATGCCGAAATGTAATACGTCGTCACATTCATAATATATGCATATATACAAAAAAAGTTCTCTCTGAAAGCAAACTCACTGCACTAAACATAATAACCGTAAACATGAAAACCGACGTTGTTAATTAAATAAACTTTTTATTTATTTCATAAAATTATATAAAAACATCATATAAAATCACAAAACATTTAAATTAAAAGTTAAACATCGTATAGACACTTAAAAAAAAATTATCATTCTTTGACGCCCCCCGGCATGGTTATGAGTATCGTCTTTCCAAACTCTATATTTAGAATGATCAAGTACTCGTTTGTGTATTTTGAAGTACTTGTTTGTTATTTCGAATTCTGTGTACGAAAATTCGAGAAGCAAATTTTCGTACCCAGTTTTTTTATTAAATTTTGTTAGTATAAGTTTTGTTAGTAAATCGTCTATTGACAGGAAAACTTATTAAGTACAAAAATTAGGGATGTTTTTTTACACAAAGTACATCAAAGTATTGACAACTTTTGCAAAAAAAGTCGTCTATCCATTAGTGCTTTATGGAGTTCCAAGAAGCGAAATCAAAAAAAGGTGTAGTTTTGACGTAAAAAAGTTTTTTAAATGCAATTTTTCGTTACTTACGAGTTTTTCCGGTTAACCGACTATATATTAGACTTCTAATTGAGTTATCTGTTTTAGTTTGGTATCCAATTATGAAAGCTAGCATAAAAGTATTAGAAAGTATTAAGCAAAGGGTAACAAGAATGATATCTTCTTTAAAAAATTATACATAAATAAAAAGGCTGAAAATAACTGGATTAAAAACATTTTTAAAAAAAGTAAAAAAAACGGGTGTCGTAAAACCAATCAGCTTTAAAACCATATTCAACAACAATGTTTCAATTTAAAATTTTTAACAGAATTATATAAATATGAACCCTAAAACAAATTTATTAAGAGTAGGGCAGCAATTGATTGGAGCAATATATCAAATAAATTTTGAAAGAAAATTAGAGAAAAATCTAGAAACTCTTCTAAATAAATATCATGCTATTTTAAGGTCCCATCTAAGATATGCATCTCAAGTATGGGTACAATCCCTTAAACATACCTTTTTAAGGTTGCCCCATCTCTAAATAAAGCTTGAAAATAATATATTTTCAGCAAAACAACTTTAGATCTAATGTGCTATACCTAATCTCCAGTATATTAAAATTAAGCGATTTTGTGGTATTTTTTAACTACCCATTTGTCTGGAATTATCATCGCAAAAACCTTCCCCTATCATTCAACAATTTCCTCATAAGTAAAAATTGTCACTATCCTCTTCGTTCCACCAGTAACTTAGTTATTTTAAAACACCACTCTGCTAAATATAGAAATAAATCTATTAAATATCAATGTATTAGCTCATGGAACAACAACCTCCAGATCTAAAACCTCTTTATTCAATTGGTGAATTTAAAATCAAGCTTTTTGATTATTTGTTAAAAAAATACAATTAAATATTTCTACAAGTTTATATTAAAATTCTTTATTATAACTATCAATTCGTGATCCTTCAGTTTTTAATTTGATATTTTTAACATTTTGAAATTCTTTATTTATCCATCTACATCTAATTCCTCTGGTTTTCTATCTGCCGTTTTTAATACTTTATTAAATTTATTATTCTAATATTTTGACATTCTTTATTTATCTATCTATTTATATATCTCTTTTCATTCAACTATTTTCTACTTCGTATTAAATTTTTGTTGCTGTTAATATTTACTAAATTTTTGTTGCTGCTGTTATTGTCTTATTTATGAAATTCTACCTTTATCGTTATCATTATTGCTCAGTGCCGTGCCAAAAGCCCCCAAACCCCCCGGTTGGGAGGGGGGGCCCAGGAATTTGAAAAGGTAATTTTTGAAAATTAAAATTATGATATAGGTGTTTTTTATTTATTTATAATATTAAAACTTCGTATTAACGTTTGCTTATTTTTTCAAATTCGATAAACCTAACAAAATGATGCATGTATTGACATGCATACAATGATGATTGTATTGACTGGCGAATACAAAGGTAGGGGTGAGGATTAGCCCCCAAAGAACTATCAAACTTTACATTTTTATTAATAAAAATTAAAAAAAAAAGGAAAATTATAAAAATGCTGTTTTAAAGTTATACACACATTTAATATATATACCGTATAATCTCTCTAATTCGAATCTCCTTAATTTAAAAACCTCCATAAATCGATTAAATGCAAAGTCACTGTAAAATAAAAAAAAAACTTTCTGTAATTCTAAAATCACTCTAATTCGATTTTTTATTTTCCCCATTTTTGTTCGAATTAGAGAGATTGTACTGTATATATTTGCTAATATATAAACATTGTAAATGATCAAATGAAATAGTTGTTTAACCTAAATAGGGCCCTTTTTTTTGTTGTTGTTCCGACTATCCTCCATTAGGACCAATCAGTGACCTAGATCCGCCATTGATTGTATTGCTGAGTTAGTGGACGTTTTATTTTAGTAAAACTTTCGTTAAGAAAGTTTTGTTTAGCTTAGTTTAAGTTAAATCTTATGAAAAAGATGCTTTGTATTACTAAATTAGTCTACGCAGCGCAAAGATACAGCTGCCGATTTTTAATTTAAAAAGCAATCTTTTATTCAAAAGATTGCCTGCCCAGGCCAAAACCCTCCGTCTATGTATGTACGTTCCACTACACCAATCCTTAGATAGTCAGTCGATGTATACACACTCCACTTCGCCAGTTTCTAGATAGTCAGTAGACGTGTGTACACTAAATTGTGTTTACCCCTATATCAGTATACAAGTATATATTTGCAACCTATAAAAAGAAACAATCAGATTTCGCTACTTGCTGAATTCCGATTGGTTCATTAATAATCCCAATGACTATTAGTGACTTTAGGCACAAAAATTAAAGCTAGACACAGCGTTTAGTTAAATTACAAAACATCAAATTATTATTTAATTCCAATTTTTTTTTTTTTCTTCTTACTTTTTAATTTTATCGATAAAACTTTAAAGATTGACAGTTCTTAGGGGGTGCGGGTGGGGCGGTGAGGAAGGAGTGATTTTAAAAACAAATTACCCCTCCTTAACCGGGGGACGGGCTTGACGTGTTACAAGGGCCCAAATTTTTTTTTTTTTTTTTTGGGGGGGGCCTACTAACTGTCTGGCACAGCACTGTTATTGCTACTAACGTTAATAACAATAACTATCGTTATTATTATCATTATTGTTGTTGTTGTCATTGTTGTTGTTGTTATTATTATTGTTGTTATTATTTTTAAAATTGTAATTACGCCTATTTGTTTTATTTAAGTGTTTCGGCGTGTTATTTGTTGACTATTTGTTACATCAAACTTTGTTCTTATATATTGTATTTCTTACAACCCGTTTCACAAGATATTCAGTATTGACCATTAATAACAATCCAGCATGTTATTATTTATATCGTTCAACTTTGATTGATATTAAATCAATGATTTTTTAAATTCTTTTAAATATAAAAAGTGTATTTTGATGAGCATTCTATTTTCTTTCAAATAAATATAGAATTCATAAAAATATTATTTAATGGTGCTAGTTATATTGCTTTTTTTTTTTTTTTTTTACATATATCTTATAATTTGAAATAATTATAATGCTCATAATTAACAATTCAACTGTATTATTTTAAAATTCCTTAAAAATTTTATTTGCTTTTGATTAAAACTTTGCAATTATTTGCGAATTATTTATAATTACTTGAGAATTTTTATTTAATTTGTTATAATTATTTGAAAAATTTGCGTAAAAATGAAATAGAAAAATGAGTATCAAATTAACTGCAATATTTCAGCAATAAAACAATCAAATTTACAGGAAATTTTTTTGATAATATAGCAATTTTTGATAGTTTTACATTTTTGATAAATGTAAAATCGTAGTAATGAATGAACAAAACATCTCAATGAGAGAAATTGCAAAACATTTTAACACAACAAATGCAACTTTTAGCAGAATAATCAGCTGATATTAAAGATACAATACAAGTGAAAATCTTCCATGTCCTGAAAATCTTCCAAGACCCAGCATTTCAAATAAAAGAAATGAACGTTCACTTATTTGCATAGTGAATAAAAACAGAAGTTTGTCATCTACTGATTTCAGTCAAAAAAGTACAAAAAGCTTTTGATGTTGTTGCTAGAGCTCGAACAATTAGAGGAGTACTACAAAAGCATAATTACATGTGGCAAGCTTTTTTTAAAAAACAGCGTCTATTAATAAAACATCAGAAAACAAGAACAACTGGTGTTTAGCTCATAAAATTTGGTCTATGATTATGTGACACAATGTTCTTTTCAGAGATGAAAAAAACATTGAAAATGTTTGAAAAAAAACAACCATGTAATGCTGAGAAGAAAACCACATAAAAAATATGGACCCAAATTGTTTTACGTATAAAACGAAACATGACGTGTGGACATGTCAGCACAACAACCAAATTTTTATTTACTACAACTGGCTGTCAACGTATCTTTAAATTCTCAAATAGAAATAACAAAGATGGTAGCTGCTGTATAAAGAATCGTCACCCTTTTTAATCAGTCTAGTGTAGCACAAGAAAACCAAAAATGCGTTTGTCAAGAACTTAAAATGCCAGACCACCAATTAAGACGTAAGCACACACTAGAGTTCAACATATTATTTATTGGAACAATTAATAGAGCAAAAGCAAGCTGTCTCGAAGAAAAAATGTCAATGAAATTGATAAAACAGTTGAGATACACGAAAGTTTTTGGAAATGTTTTGAGGAAGTTGCTATAGAAAATACGCACACAGATAAAGATGTTGAACAGAAAAGTTCAACAGCAAATGAAATTGATTCATTTATGAAAACTGTTCGCTTTGATCGGCAAGCAGACCCTTACAATTGGTGGTCAGCTAATGCAAAACAATATCCAAGTCTAGCTGAATTTGCTAATATTTACTTATCATCTCCAAATAATAGTGCATATAGTAAGCGGCTATTTTCGGAAACAGGGATAATTTACGAGGAAAAGCGGAATCGTTTGCTTTCAACTAGTGCCAAAAAAATTGTTTTCATTCATCATAATTTACCACTGATAAATTTTAAGAATCAAACTTGTTTTAAATTAAAAAATTTTATGATTATTAAAATCTTATATATATATATAATATATTTATTATTTGATTAGTCTGTTTATTGTATTATTATAGTAATATATATAGTAATATAATCTATTTCTAATCCGATTTTTTTCATGTTTCAGCATTCAGTTTTCGGCCGAATAGTTAGCAATATTCGGTCAAATACCAAATAGTAAAAAATGTTGCCGAATATACCGAATATTCGTGGCATCTCTAGTCTTAATCAAACGTTAATCTCGTAGCGCTAGTAATGCTTTTTGTGAGATCATAAGTTATAGCTTGTTTTTCCTTTTTTGTTATTTAAGACCAAGCGTAATAATTAGCTTTGGTCAAAGAAAAAATCATTTGAATAGATTTGAGAATTTCAGCTTTTTTTTTTTATTATTTTTTTTATTTTTGTATGTATTTAGGTGCTCCCAGAAGTCTTTACGGTCTTATCATAGAGCACCGCGTGATAGCATTTAACTGGAAGTTCACGCCTCCTTCCGTACTAATGTCACTTTTTGGGCTAGAGCTGGCGTCGAACCTCGGACTTCTGGGTTCTGAGCCAGAACTCTAACCACTGCGCCACGGCTGCTCTTTGCTTCAACCGATCAACTTTACTTTTTTTACAAATCCAAATCCAGGTTTACTTTTTTTACCAATCCAAATCCAACTTTACTTTTTTTACCAATCCAAATCCAGGTTCTTTTACTTTTTAGCTCTGCTAATGAGAACGTACCATTTAGACTGATATAGTGGAAAATCCATAACATATACAAGTGCATTTAAACTTTCTGTACACCTTTTACAGAAAGTTTAAGCGCACTTCTTTTTTTAATGTATGTAATACTTGAATTGTAATTTTTAATGTATGTGGATGTTTTACTGTTTTATGTTTTTGAAATGTAATTTTTAATGTATGTATAACTTAAATGATAACCTAATAAATTGATGAGATGATGATGATGATGATGATGATGATGTTGATGATGATTATAATGATGATGAAATGATGATGTACTCTGTATTTTTATATTTATTTATACTAAGATTATAATTTACTAATTTAAAGGAACAAAATTGTAAGGATGTTATAAACGAGAAGAAAAAAATGGAGATGATGAAAAAATTAACATAGAAATTAATTCCTTTTCAATTTTTTGAATTAAACATTAAACGCATTTTGATAAGAAAACTCGTGACACTCGGTTAAGTGTTTTTTATTGAAGTCTTCTGCATTTTTTTTTTCACTCAACAGCCTGTTAGCGATAAAATTTTTCATTTGGATCATATTTCTTTGAATTCTTATTTTATTTTGAATAAAAGCCGCAACTACAATTTCATTCAAAATTTAGCAATTTTCAAATGACAGCACGCGATGACAGCAAGAGTATCAGCTGATACTCTTGGTTCCGTCGGCATATGGGGTTAGATATCAGGCTCAGACGTTAGCATTCTTAAAATATAAGAGGGAAGATTAAACCAGTATGAATATCGTGATATTTTGGAAAAAGCGCTTATCCCTAGTCGCGATTAGTTCCAGGCTGATAAAAACTGATAATTTCAATAAGACAATGACAATTTACGGAGATGGATAGATTATCAACTAACAAAAAAAAAAAAAAAAAAACAAGTCACGAAATGCTCAAACAAGAACCAAACTGTGTCTTGAAATAGCAACCAAGATGATTGAAAACTTAATTGAATCAAGACGAATACAAGCATGTGTTGAAAACAAAGGTCATATCCTGTATTAATATATTTCAAGTAAAAAAAGTTGTGCGTTTAAACTTTATTGCACATTTTTCTCAGTTTTTGATTAATTAAGTTTAATATTTAATTTTAGCAAAGATTTTTATTCAAAGTTGTTTTTTTCTTAATTAATAATCGGCTAAGAAAAAAAAAACCTGGGCCCTGCTTTGTATTTTCTCTTTGTACCACTCTAAACTTACCTTAACTATTAAAAAAACAAGTGCGTTTAAACTTTCTGTATAAGGCAGTGGTTCCCAACCGGTGGTCCATGGACCCCTGGGGGTATATAAGAACATAAATTATCCACAAGATAAACGTAAATTCTAAATATTTTTTGGTAGTGAAACTTAATTTTGATTATTTTTTTCTGTTGAAAGAAACAAATTAAATTTTAAATTAAAAATGTAATTTATGCGAGAAAGCTGTTACACAAAATTTGCGTTAACTAATTCGACGAGGACTTGCGGACCTCTACGAAGTAATAAATGCTATATAATATTTTATATCCGTAAATTTAAAATGTTAAAATCTTATCTCATGGTAAAGATAACCTTACTGATTTGTTTGAAAGAACATAATTTGTGTTATTTTCTATAAAAATTCGATACTATACTACTCTTATCTATAGATGCTTTTTATATTATTTTTTAAATACTTTAGATGTCTAAAAGTAAAAAAAGGTCATACTTAGATGAATACATGAGATATGGATTTACCTACATGCTTAAAGAAACCATTAGCTACCCACAGTGTGTTATTTGTTATAAAGTACTAGGAAATGACTCTATGAAACCTTCAAAGCTTGCTATTCACTTGAATAAGTGCCATCCTGATCTCCAAACAAAAGATACTGATTTTTTCAAAAGAAAATTTGAATCACTGAAGAGATGCAAATTGGATAAAACTGGGATTATTTACCAAACTCAACAGAATATAGTAGAAGCATCCTATAAGGTTTCATATATAATAGCACAGAACAAAAAAGCTCACACATTGGCTGAAGAAGTTATACTTCCATGTACAAAAGAAATCGTTAGATTATTATTTGGAGAAGAAGCTGCAAAGAAGGTAGATAATATATCTTTATCAAATACTACAGTCAAACGAAGGCTAACGGATATTTCATCAAACATTAAAGAAAATGTTATTAATGAAATTAAAGAATCCCCATATTTTTCTATTCAGTTGGATGAGTCCACAGATGTAAGTTCAATGGCACAACTAATTGTATATTGTAGGTATACTCACAATAACAAATTTAAAGAAGAATTTTTGTTTTCTTCTTGCCTTGAAACAACAACAAAAGCAGCTAATATTATGAAAATTTTAAAACAGTTTTTCAATGACAATCAATTACAATGGAAATATTTGTTTGGAATTACTACTGATGGAGCTCCTGCCATGATGGGTTGTAAGTCTGGATTACAGACTAGGGTGAAAGAGATTGCTCCAAATGTAGTTGGTGTACACTGTTTTATTCATAGACAGGCTTTGGCAACCAAAACTTTACCAGGTAGTTTGAAAACTGTATTTAATCAATTAGTCAAGTTGGTCAATTATATAAAATCTTCTGCTCTTAACACTCACCTTTTTACAAAATTTTGCTCTGACCTAAATGCTGAACACAACAAGTTATTGTTTTATACTTCTGTGCGATGGCTATCTGCTGGAAATTTTTTGGAAAGATTTTTCATGCTTAGAAATGAAGGGAAAGAATTTTTATGTCAAATGAAAAGTGGACTGGTAGAATATTTTGAATTTGATAATTTTGAAATAACAACTGCTTATCTTGTGGACATCGTAGGTCATTTTAACAAGTTAAATTTGCAACTTCAAGGCAAAAATGCTAATGTTATTACACATTCAGATAAACTGAAGGCATTTATTGAAAAGCTCAAACTGTACAAGACTAGAATTAATAATGGAAACTTGATCATGTTTCAAAATTTAAATAACATAATTGGAGTTAACATGCTTCCTGAAGTTATAAAGACAGAAATAGTTTGTCACCTAGATAATTTGATTACTGAATTTGGTAACTATTTTCCAGATATGAATCTTTTGAGCAGTGAAGGTATTATATCACCATTTTCTTGTGATGTGAAAAATGTGAAAGAGGAAGCACAAGAAGAGTTTATAGAGTTAAAGAATGATACCACGGCTAAGGATCACTTCAAAGTAGCACCATTAAATAACTTCTGGTTGAAAATGAGGAATTCATATCCATTGTGTTCATCAATTCCACTTAAAGCCCTTATTCCTTTTTCAACATCATATTTGTGTGAAGCCGGGTTTTCAGCAATGCTATCTCTTAAAGCAAAAAAAAGAAATAGACTTGATATTGATGCAGATATTAGATGTGCTCTATCAAAAACTAAACCAAATTTTCAGATATTAATTGCTAGTAAGCAGTGTCAGAATTCACACTGATCTGTTCTTGTATCATACATAAACTAAGATAAAAAATTTTTGTGTCATTGATAAATATTGATTTTGTGTCTAGTCTATTCAAAAATACCTTAAATAAAATATTATCCTTATGAATAAAAGTTACATTATTAAAATTTTCACCTTGTAATAATTTTTAAAATCAAAGGGGTCCATGAAGATTTTAGGATATTTAATTTAGGGAACGGGTTAGAAAAGGTTGGGAACCACTGGTATAAGGTGTATACGACACTAGACTACAAAAACTGCATAAAAAAAGAGCATATCAATATTATTTATGAATATTTATACAGGATAAAAATTGAGCTGAATAAAAAGTATACTGTTATTAATATGTGTCAAGGGGCGAATCGAGACCATAAAGTAAAGGAGGCAATTTTAAGGTTATTTTGATTCGGTAGGTTCAGACCATCTAGTTAGGAGGGGTTTGGGGCAATTTAAAGGTTCTTTTGATTCAGCAGATCCAGAACATCTAGTAAGGGGGCCATTTTGATTCGATGGAATGTAAACATGATAAATTGAAAAATAATAATTAATAAAATAAAACAATACAAAACTGTTAAAAAATACTAAAATATTAAAAAGCTATTTTTTTAACAAACTATTTTATATTTCTTAACCCGAGAAGAAGATTGTTATAGATTTCTGGAACCTAAGTTGAAAAATATTTTTATTGTAAACTAATATTTGAGAGTTTAATAAATTTGTTAGTATTTCATGGTCAGTGAGTAGGAAATAGTTCATATAGTTCTCACAAACGTCTCCTACACTTTTGCTTGATAACACATCACCTTTTTATTATTATCACTTTTTTAAAAATTCTTAACGCTTTTATAATTTTATACAGGGTAAATACAAAAGTTTATGTTTAATTTGAAAAAAGGGTACTCTGAAAGTCTGAAAGTGACTCCACTACCAGTAACGGAAGCATATTACCGGAAAAATGCTATAAACCAACAGAAAAAATCAGACATAAAGAGAGTTTTAAAATACATAAAAAATGAGTTTTTTTCTTTTTTTCAACAAAATTGTATGTTTAGCACAGATTGTATCTTGAAGATAAGGTTAGATCTAGAAGATAATTTTTGAATCAACAGAATTAGTTCGCTACCATTTTAATGTAACGTTAGTACTCAAAGATGATTCAAGGAATAAAATGAGGAGAAGGAAGGGGGGGGGGGGGAAGGGAGAGGAAAGAGTGAATCCTTAAAAATGCTCGAGTGCTTTCTAAAATAAAAAGAGTTTTTAAAACTAATAATCACCCAATTCAAATGTGTCAAATATCCGACTAGCCGACAATATTAAGGCCGTAGACAACTTTTTTTGATATTTGAGCTAAGCAACTTTGAAACATGAAGAAAACTCCATATTTAAGTATGTTCATAAATATGAGGAATGAGGATGCTATGCAAAAAATTGCGCTGATTGGAGACTGGGAACAACAAAACACTAAAACATTAGCCCCTCCCCCAGCCCCAAATAGGAGGGCAATGAGTCAAATTTGTTTTTTTTTTTTTAAATCTTAAATTTAATTTATATTCATCAATAAGTTTCAAATTTGATTCAATAATCTCTTGTTGTTCAGCTTTTATGACCTTGAAAAGTATACAGCCCCCTTAATTTGAGGAGGGTTTAAATTTATAAGGTCTATTTTTCTGGTTACTATCACTTCTTATATCTTTTTAAGCCACACTTTTTACCTCTGGGCCCCAGTGCTACAGTACCGCCATCCCCACCTTTGTGGGGGCCATGGATATATAAAAGTTTCTAATGCAAATTGCTTTTTATTAAAAGAATCACTTATGCTAATATGTTTTGTTGAGTGCTATGATTAAAAGCCGAATTGTTTTTTTATTTAAGAATTTGTTTTGAATTAGATATTCATAAAACCTATTGTAGATTATTTTCACTTCAAGTATTTTTAGAAAAAGTTGGAAGTATTGAGATTGGTCTGTAGTTATTTATTAGAAATATTTTACCGGTTTTAAAAATAGGAAGGGAAAAAGCGCGTATGATGGTATAACACCTATGATGGTATACCGGTCATATTTTCATAATATTAGTTATGGCGAAAAAGTGATTAAACCTACATTTTTGACTTTACATTAGTTTTAGTAAAAATACGTCCTTTATGTACAAATATTAATTTCGTAATCAACAAAAATCGATTTTTGGATGTGCTGTTGTATTTTTAATTCCTTTATATATTTAAAATTGTGATTTTATTATTTTATTATTTTATTTGTCGCGAAATCAGGTTCTAATCCTTTGACCATTCTTTTATGTGCTTTCGCCTAGCACCTCTTCACTCTATCACCTTTCTCTTTGTTCTTTATCGTTCTCCTTCTTCCCATGATTGCACTCTTTTAGATGTTATCTCTGATCAAATTGACCATGCCCTCTCTCTTTACCCCTCTGCCAATATTGTTGTTGTTGGTGATTTTAATGCCCATCACACTGAATGGCTTGCCTCTAACACCACTGATCCTGCTGGCACTAAAGCCTTTAACTTCTGCGTTTCTCAATCTCTTACTCAGATAGTTAACTTTGTGACTCGTTTTCCTGACAACCCTAATCAAACCCTAATCTGTTTTTTCTCTCTCAGCTGACAAATGCGCCTCCTACGTAATCTCCTGGATTCAGGCTGGAATGGAAGCTTTTATTCCTTCTCGTCGGTTTCAAGTCAAGCCTCATTCTACTCCATGGTTTTCTCCTTCTTGTGCGGCTGCTTAATCCAATCATAATCATTTTTTTCATCTTTTTCAAACGAACAACTCTCTTGAGAACAAACGGCTATTTATTTTTGCAAGAAATCGATGTAAAAAGGTGCTTTCTGATGCTAAACTCCATTATTCTCAGTTCACTAAGTCTCGCATCTTATCGCAGAAGTTAGGCTCTAAAGACTTTTAGAAAATCTTCAACAGCATTATTAATAAGGGTAGATCTAACATTCCATCTCTCATTCATGGGACTGATCTTATTACCTCTCCCAAGGATAAGGCAGAACTATTTGCAAAGAACTTTTCTTCTAATTCCACTCTTGACCCATTGTTAGACATTCAAATCACTCCGGCTTCTGTTGCTAAAGTCATATCTCAATTAAACTCGTCTACAACTTGTGGTCCAGACAACATTCCTGTCACAGTCTTGCAGAATTGTTCTCCAGAACTTTCTTCAATTCTATCTAAACTATTTAACAAGTGTTTGACTGAGTCTTGTTTTCCTGCTTGTTGGAAAATGGCATCTGTGGTTCCAATATTCAAAAACTCTGGAGAAAATTCTGACCCCTCCAATTATCGTCCGATCAGTCTTCTTTCTGTTGTTTCAAGGTCTTTGAGTCTTTTATCAACAAATTCCTCACATCTCATCTTGAGTCAAATAAACTACTGTCAGACAATCAATACGGTTTTCGATCCTCTCGCTCTACGGCCGACTTGCTAACTGCTGTAACTGAAAGATTTTATCGTGCAAATATTATATTAGATTATTAGATGGAGGCGGTGAAGCTAGGGCTATTGCTCTCGACATATCTAAAGCTTTCGACAAAGTTTGGCATGCTGGTCTTCTCCATAAGCTTGCTTCATATGGTGTTTCTGGGAAAGTTTTTGAGATTATCAAATCATTTCTTTCTAACCGGTTTATTAAAGTCATCCTTGAAGGCCAACACTCTTCTTTATTTCCAGTAACTTCTGGGGTTCCCCAAGGTTCCATCCTGGGCCCTGTTTTGTTTCGTATCTACATAAACGATCTTCCTGACAACCTTTCATCTAAAGTAGCTCTTTTTGCTGATGACTCAACTTTATACTCCTGTCTTGACAAAAAGTCTTCTCTTTTCGATCGCCTAGAACAAGCAGCTGATCTTGAATCTGATCTCACTTCAGTAATAGATTGGGGTTCACAGTGGCTTGTGAATTTCAACTTTAAAAAAACCCAATTGCTTACTGCAAACAACTACCGTAATAAGGCCAACATTCCTATATTAATGAATGGCAATCCTCTTACTGAGTCCTCCTCTTTACGTCTTCTTGGATTATCGCTTACTACTGACCTTTCATGGAAACCATATATACAATCGATTGCTAAACTAGCTTCTGCTAAGGTTGCTTCTCTTTATCGTGCTCGCCATTTCCTTACTTTTGATTCCATTCTCTACCTCTACATATCTCTTATTCGTCCCTGTATGGAATACTATTGTCATATTTGGGCTGGTCCTTCTAACGATTCACTTTCTCTTCTCGACAAGGTCCAAAAACGCATTGTAAATGTTGTTGGACCTGGACTATCTGCTAAGCTTGAACCTCTTTCCCATCGTCGTAAAGTTGCATCTCTTTCTTTTTTCTACAAATACTATCACGGTCACTGCTCAAAGGAGTTATCATCTCTAGTTCCATCAACTAAAATTCGTTCTCAACTAAGTCTCATTCGTTTACTGTATCTGTCCCTGCATGCTCTAAAAACTTTTATTTATCTAGTTTTTTTCCCCGCACTTCAATCCTTTGGAACTCTCTTCCATCTTCATGTTTTCCTGACTCATACAACCTTCAACTTTTCAAGTCTTCTGTCAACCGTTTTCTTGCTCTATAACTCTGTTCTTTTTTTCCTAGTAACTCCCAATTTAATAGTGTTTGCTTGCAGCCTTGTTGGAAGTGAATGCAAATAAAAAAAAAAAAAAAAAAAAACTGTGCAGAAATGAAACTTTCATGTATTTTATTTCCAAGTTTTGTGCATTTAGTGAAATACTTATTTTAATTTTATCTTTTTTGTTTTTTCAAACTCGTTGTTGAATCTAGTTAAATAAGAATTCTTCCTATGATGGCATACTAACGAGTTAGGTGTGTTGAAATATTGACAAGTTGAGAAAATCTTTTTTTCTTCATTAAAACGACATATTCGTTAGTTAAGTAAAAAAGAATTTTTATTTCACTAAAAAAAATTTTATTATAAAAACACATAAAACGCAATATCTCTTATGCGCATGCGCG